AGGGCATCGCTACTAGGAGCAAGAAGCTACTAGTAGCTCCTGGCATTGGGGGCATCGCTAACATGAGCAAGGAGCTACTATTAGAAACCAACACCCCTTGGAAGTGGTCAGTAATTTTTTCCCAGATACGGCACACATCGGCACACTTCGGCACACTAACGCCATGGCACCGCGCAGTTGCCAGGAGAAGCGCCACAGTGAGGAACTGAGGCGCAGCCACGTGGAGAAGGCCAGCACCGCTGCCCAGGAGCCGAAGGGGCCACACTTGTGGGACAACGACCACCAGAGAACCCAGCCGTGGATTGGGATCCTTCAAGCGAGGGGGGGTCAGTAACATCGACATCTCCACTTGTCGTGGGCTGGGGGATGTTGTGCCTGACGTCACATTCTGAGGTTGCCCACCCGAACCATGTTTTGACTTTTGATTTGGTGTGGCATGGCACGCTCGCTGAGTTTCAACTGAGAAAATTAGATTCACCTACTGAATCCTGAATGGATTATAACCCCCACGAGACCGACCCAGGGCCCAAGTCAGGGAGCTACAGACCAACTGCCTTCGCTGCCTTCGCTCGGCCCCAGTTGGATCCCAGCTTGGACTGAAGGACCCCAAAAAAACACTTGGCCCTTCAGTCCGACGCCAACTGAAGCTCCACCAAGCGCAGCGACCCCGTGCTGCTTCTTGTGCCGCAGCGCGAGGACAAGAAGCTCTCGGACCTGGCCATGAAGGTTGGCGAGACGACGTGGACTCCAATGCAAGTGGAAAACCAGGGGGAAACCAGCTGTTTGTAGAGGATGGTATCAAAGGGTCCATGTCCTTTTTGGCGGTGTGAGTCGAACATGTGCCACATGGGGTTTGGTTCCACTTCTTTTCGCGGTCCCCCTTCTTGCTACGGCTTCTTCCCAAACCAGTCTGACTGGACCCCGTCTCGGTGTCCAGGTGCATGACGTCTACAAGCGCTGCGACTTGGCGCGGGATCAGCAGCAGCCGGACACCTTGCAGATGCTGGGCGCCATCGAGACTCGGATCGAGGAGCTGATCCAAGGCTTGGACGAGGCCTACCAGCAGGCCCCCGCCGGCGCCCGGCACGAGACGTTGGTCCGGGGGGTGAGGGCCATGGGCTCCAGCGTTTGGCTTCCACTCCGTGCCGCGAAGGATGAGGAACTCGTCATGCGCTTGGAATGGCAGAAGGAAAGGGACCGCAGAGAACGCGCCAGGGCTCTCAGGGTCGATGCGCGCGGTGTCTCGTGAATCACATCGACTCGGAGTGCTTCGAAGATTGGGCCGGTCCGACAAGCCCCCCGTGGCAGGGCCGACTCGGGATGCTTCCGAAAGGTGGTTCGCAGGGATTTTGGGGAGGGGTCTGATTTGGACATATTCCACCAAGCATAAGTCTACTTGCCCTATGGAGCAGGCCACTAACTGGTTTGGCATGTGTGTGTGTGGCTCAGCGAGCGAGGTTCTGAAGGACACAAGAGGCACCTGGATTGACTCGAGAGGTTTGTTTGTCGTTCTTCTTTTTGGGGGGATGGGGAACTGAGTACGACGAACCGTTTGTTCTTGCAAAGGGATGGGTCATTTCGCTCGCTCGAGCGGCTTTCCCTCTCTCGACTTTCGACGTGCCGAATTCCTCGAACGACGGCAACGGCCAAGCGCTGTGCCGCACGAGGTCCGTGAGAACCGCATTCGAGAGCAGTCGGAGAAGCAAGAGGATCTGCACCGAAGAGATAGACGAGAGTGAGTCGACCCGATCAACGATCCGAGCAGAAGTGGTGACCCAGGTGATCACGGCGGTTTCGGGTGAATTCCACGCCGAGGTTCGGTGAAAATGGAAGGGGCGTGTTTGGATGTTCGCTTGGTGATCACCGACCTCTGAAAACCAAGTTCCAATAAAGGCTCCTAGGCTCCTAGATTGCGGAACTATGTGTTTTTGCATATGTGACCTGAAGGGTAGCGGCAGGGGTTGCTTCATGACACAAGCAACCACAATCTCGTACCCTGCAACGTCCTCATGGTGACGTCTGACCCGTGCTGACCCGTGGGAAGGCCATTCTCCTTGGCAAACAAGGGGGTTGTCCACTTCTATGTGAGTAGACCGGGGGGGTGGATGGCTTGAGCCCCGGCCCCGGCCCCACGTCACTTCTTTTTACTCCGGCGATGACTCGCACCACCCGACTCGCGAGGACCGTCTGAAGCAGTCCTTGCTGCGATCGCAAAAGCCGGTCTTCAAGAAGGCACAGCACAAAGGGTCCAGTTGCACTGCATGGGCAGGCACAGGTGTGGAAGATGTCTGGGATTCTTTTTGGGTTTCTAGTATGCAGAAGGCGACAGTATGCGAGGACGACGGTCATCATTCGGTGGAACGGGTGATTTGGTCAAGGTCGAGAACTGACACGGTCGCGAAGCGAGGCTTTTTCCGCGGCGAAGTGATGCGAAAACTGGAGTCTGCACTTGCGGAAACAGCCACTGCCTATGGGTTCGTTTGTAGCATTGAAGAAGGGCTCCAACACTTTGCTCTTCCTTTCGCCTTTGTTGTTGTGAAGTGAGGGCTCCAAGCCGATCTTTGTAATTCATCGTTGTCCACGAATGAAAGTGTACCACCAATAGGTATCAGTACCAAATCGACCTCTCAAGGATTACCACACGGACATCATTGGTCGTGCCAGTTGGCCAGTTGTCCATGGCGAAGCACCCTGACCGCGGCGGAGATCCATGTCTACGAGACCCAACACTGTAGATGGTCTCCTGCCCGGTATCCAACACTCATGAAAGTGGATGGCGCGTTGGAAGGCTACCTTCAGAATTTAACGGGTTGGCTTCCATGTTCATGTTAGTTGAGGGGAGGGGTTGTGCGAAACACTGTCAGCCTGTGATAGACATTTAATTGAAGGCCATCGACCGCCGTGGTGACACCAGGCGGGCAAGCAAGTGATGTACCGCTCCCCACCGTTGCGACAAGAGCGGAAGATCGTGGAGGACACCACAGACGACGAAGCGCACGCGCGCGACCACAAGGTGGGGCGGTTTTGGGCGTTGCTGGCGGGTGGGGGAGTGGGCAGGAAGTAGGGGGTAGTGATATTATATAAATGGCTTTGAATCACTGTGGAGGATTTCCAGACAGTGCCAAGACCCAAGTTGGTGGCGCATCACTCATGATTTCTCGCAAGACAAACATGGAAATAAGCACGGGGTAGGATTCCCAACAGGGTAGAGCCTTCAGGGCCTTTGATGACGTCCTTCGTGACCTGAAAAATGCCCGCCGCTCATGCAGCCGGGCGGCAGCGACGGAATGCGCCAGGTTTTTGACCTCTACATCGACCGCAAGACCGGAATGCCCCACACGGATGCACCCACCGAAGAAGCCAGGCGAACAGTGAAGAACGTGGACTGCGCAAGTTGGGCCAACCGGTTGGCAGTGATGGGATTGCGCTTGGGGGGCTCTGAGCTCTCCAGGAGCTCTCCCGGAGCTACCGTCAGAGTAGATGGCACAAACTTCAAGATGACTCTAGATGGGGTCAAACAACTTTTTGGGGATTGTGCCATCTACTCTCAATCCGCTATCATGCAATGTCTGGTTTTGGTTCGCTTTATGAGTTTATTTTCGTTTGATTTTCAGGCTCCCCTAAGATCCCTTTGCAAGGTTGCAAGCCAATCTGCTCCCAACCACCCCTTCCTGCCCAGTAGGAGGGGTTCGTAGGGATGAAGAATAACCCAGGCAGAAGTGTACCACTGCGGGGACGGGATGATATCTTTATATAATGCTTACTTACAATTTCAATTCACATATCATAAACCTGGGATCTGGAAAGGTCCAGACATCGGACAACATGTCCCGGACTAGAAAAGAAGGGTATATAAATATCAAAATATCTCTTTACATACAGAGATGCACACACACACATATATATATATATAGTATAAAATATAATATATAACATATAACAAATATACTATTATTATTATTACTATTGTTATTATCACTATACATATATATATATATACACATATACATTCTTGTCTACACCAAGCTGGTAGCCCCGAGAGCCGCTCTCAGGCGTTCCACCGACACCGCGCTCAGTGCGCCGCCCCCTTCCAGGCGCCGGCTCCGGTCGCCCGTGTCGTGTGGGTGCCATAGCTCAGAAAAACATGGGATAACATACCTGGACCCTTCAAGGGGTGTCCAATGGAGGTCTGGTGTAGGGGCTTCCAGCCAGGTGACCCCTTTGAAGGTGCTGGTATGTTCAGCTGTGCAGAAATAGACCTTTGCCTTGCCTTTTTGGACCATGAACATCCATATGTGAAATTGTGGGTTCGCTCACGAACTCCAACCTTGAAAAAAGAGTGAAGATCTAGCATGTTTTGCACCACCAAGTTGCCAACACAGCCTGTATTCAGATTGTTTTAGGGGTAGAGCCGTGGAAAAGTACAATTCTGCTCCCCAACCCCCCCTAGCTCAAGCAAATGGTGCTTGGAGATGTAGGGTTTCATCTGCGGAACGGACGGACCAACGCACCCGACCGTGCCCAGTCCTAAGTCGCAGTCCATGAGCGAAGCCCTCGAGAGCCGAGAGGTGTTCATGTTGGGGCAGCCCAGCCGAAAGGGCAACCGCCGATCGGTTGGGGCGTTCTGGAGGTGGGGCGGGTTGGTGCACTGGTGGGGATCGGTTTCCCAAACGGTTTGGGGGTGGGTTCGCTCGTTCTTTCTTTCGGTGGGAGTCATTGTACTGCAACCCTTTCGGGCGATCCCGGATCGTCGCCGCCCGTCCCAGGTGATGCGGTGGTGACCGCGGCGTTGATGGCTGGCGGGTCAGACCATTCGCGGTTCCCTCTAAAGAAATCGTGTCACATCGTCTTCGAGGAACAGCAGGGGGTCGTTTGTAAGCTGCAAGCATCCTGAATTGCTGGATGAAATGGTGGTGAATGGTGGCAACGAATCTAATTGGGGGACACGGTTATATATCATATTTATATATATCTTTATAGACACATGTGAGTGTCTGTGTGGTCCTGAGACCGGATTCGCGTGAATTTTGGAGCCCTCACTCACATTTACATGAAGCATTTATTGTCCAGCGTCGAGTTGCCACAGAAACAAACATGATGCGAACTACCTGGACCCCTTCACATCCAGTGGTGCACTGTTTGGACATGCTAGCCTGAAGCCTCGCAGTTTCGCGGGTTGTTGCACTGCGGTTTGGGAGAATGGTTCGCCCATCTGGGTGGAGCTGGGTGGCTGTTGAGATCATTTCGTGCGGAAAGAAAGTGTTGACCCACCACAGTAGTTGGGCACAAGCTCCAGAGCTCTTCGTGCTGCCCAAGTTTTCACCGACCCGAAGCTGTTTCACCTGAGCATGAGGGCTGTGCAGTGAAAGGTCGGCCGCAACAACCACTGCCGAGGCTTTCATGCGGCATGAAAGCCGGCGCATCGGGGTGCAAACTGGATCCTTTGATCCTTTGAGGATTTGATGGGAATGGACTGCAACTGCGATTCCATTACTTTTTCCATTAAAACGCCCTTATTTTCCGATGGAGAGGGACATCCCACATAGATCAGACCACATGACAGGCATGCTATATTTGTTGCCGGTCGCTTTTTCTCTTCTCTTGCTTTGGTCTTCTCACTTGGGGATCTACCCGGTCTACCCTCGGGGTCGCTCACTGGCTGTGCGACCGGTGCCCCACACCAGACAGCGACCGCTGCCACGAGCATTCTTCGGGGGCCTCAAAGTGCTACAACCAATTCCTGCCACAAGTTGGCTACAAACATGGATGGCCTATGACTTTCAGATACTTTCAGTGTATGGAAGATTTAAAACCATTCTTCTACCAGGGTTCGATTCCAGTTGTCTAATTAAAATACCTGTTGGAGGGTGGTTGCTTGTTAGTTAGCGATTTTCAGTCGACGCGCTGAACATCTGAGCCCTCTGCCGACATCGTTGAGACATCGTTCACGGCCGCTTCACTGGTCCAGCTGACAGTCACATTCAGCAGAGATGCAGAGAATGGATTTGTAGTGTCTACATAAGACGTAGACGTCTATCACACAGCCCAGGGTCAGATGTTCTTAAGCTAACTTATATAAATGTCAGATGTTCTGAAGCCTTTGCAATGGGCAAAGGATTGCACCAGAAGTATTTCGCTTTTGAGCGTGAATGTTCATTTCTCTCGTTACTGTGCTGCAGAACATTCAAGTGCGAATGTGTGAGCCAACTGCTTTCAATCATCAATGGGTCCTTGGAAGATGAGCCTTCCGTGGCTGCTCCTCCTGTTTGCCAGCACACTGGTCCACGCGTGGCTGGTCCTGTTTGTGTTGATGTGGTGGTTTGACGAATGGTGAGGTCGTTGTGAGTCTCGAAAAACAGCCATTCCAACTGGCAAACCTCCACGCGGCCAGAATTTTCCACATCCTGGCCAGTTTGCTTCTTTGACGACATGTTTCGCTTTTTTTCGCGTCTGCCCTCTCCTGGGCAGCAGTCAGTTCTTCGAACTAAAGAAGAACAGCCGGGGAGTTACCTTCCCCCCTACAAACATGGAAGCCTCGTGTTCCCAAGCAAGCCATGCCATGTGTGTAGCCATGAGGACGGAGGGAGGGAACCACCAGGTACCACCTCCCTCGCCCACCTTCAGACCCCCCTCGCCGCCCTCCCCCACCTACACGTGGGCTGGCCCATGGAAGCTCAGGCAGAGTCCTGGCCGCGCAGGCGGTGCGGACCTTTCTGCCGGGCGATGTGAAGCGGGTTGGTGGTGAGTTGGGTGCATGAGTTTGGTGGTGTCGCACTGGTTTTTTCTGGTGATCCTCGTTCACATCAAGAGACACCGTTACAAAGCTGCAGCTCCCTGTTGAGGCTTGTACTGGGCTTCCCAGTACTAAGTTCAGCTTGAGATTCCGCTGGATGAAAAAGAGAAGCCCCCTGGCTCCTGAGAGGGGCCGTAGTTGTATCTGAGACTTGATGCACCCTGCTGTAGCGGTTGCAGAGGGGAACATCAACCACACCAAGCTTTGCACGAAAGGGAGCAGTCCCGGGCACGGGTTTTGGCGATCTTTGAGCCTGTGAATTTTTGCGTCGAAAGTGTCCCCCAAAATCCATTGACTTCAGTACTGCCCCGCAGCGGCCCCGTCACTTCCACCGGCCCTGGGGCGCCCCCAGCGCCCCCAGTCCTGGACATCATCTCTTCGTTCGCCTCCAGGCTTCGGGGAGCTGCCCCGTCAGCCGCTGGGCACTCAGAAAGTCACGGGGGGAGAAAGAACCGGTTTGGATGAGACGGGTGCCTTTGGGAGGATAGGGGGTGCCCAAAGAAGAAACTGGATGAGGCTCAAAGAATTCATCCGGCGGGCCTGGATCCGAAATATCCCAACTCAACACCCGAGAGGCAGCATTTGCAGAAGCTTGCCCCAACATCATGCAGGCACTTCAGGAAGGGTTTTGTGAGAGGATGGGCCGCTGCTCCCATGTTTGTCATGGCATTGGCTGTGTGGCACCAGGAATTCGTTCCCACCAGAGATGAAACCGTCCGCGGTCTTTTCAACAGTGTGGCTCCGGGGCGTGCCTTTCGCCCAGGGCCCGGCGAAACTTTGACGGTCGGGCTCTCAGCAGTGCGGAGGACCTGAGTGCCACGTGCTACAGCTGCTACGGGCAATGATTGGGCTTCCAGCAACATGCAAAGCTTAGGGTTCCCCCCCGGCCCTGAACCACGTGTTCATCATCAAAAAGCACAATCCTTTGGGCTGGTGCTGGTGGTTTTCTTCCCGGTCGTGCAGAAGAGTGTGGAAAACCTCGTCCATTGTGCAGAAGAGGTTTGAAAGAGAGGTGTTGAGGTTTGAAAGAGGTGTTTACTATATTCTGGGGAGACGATTCTGCCTATTGTGGTGGTTGAGGTGGGGGTGTGCAACCAGGCCTGAAAACCTCAAAAAGTCCGATTCGCAGAGTTCGTAGATCTCGGAGGAACTGCGGCGCTTGAGGTCCTGGTACTCCGTGGAATGCGCCCCTGCCGGCCGCGGCGCCTCTTCCAACCTATCCCACTGGAATTTGGCCGCCAGCATACGTCCAATCTGAGGAATTGCGTCCCCATCCCTGGGCTCAACAGCAGCAGGCTCGGCACCAGCAGATGCAGGCCAGTGCGCAGCCACATCATGTCCACCAGCGCAGCCTATCACCCACACCGACCTCGGCGCCCCTGACCCCGGCACACCTGGGCTGGCCAGGGCTGTCGGGCCCTGGGAGCGCACAGATCCCAGTGACCCGTCCTGGTGATCAGTCCATCGGTGGCGGTCCGGGTGGTCCGGGCGGTTTGGGCGGTTTTGGTGGCTTTGCGCAGCACCATGTGCCGGTGAGGGAGCCGCATGGTGGGATGTTGCAGAAAGAAGCTGGCGCCTCAAGCAAGCAAGGACGGGCCTAGCTGCTCCCTGGCTTTTGGGTTCTTTTTGTCATGAACCATTTCAGGAGGCAGGAGGTGGCAAAGAGAATACTATATGCATTCTTTGTTTCCTGGACTTCATGTACCCACTCACTTATTAAAAAAAAGGAACAACCATCCAACGCCCTGCCTGGTTGCTCCCTCATACTTGAGGTGTGTCCTCACGGGCCCGGTTGGGGTCGGATGGTGACTCCCAGGAGATCGCGGAGGAGTGGAAGGAGCCGGAGCCAGTCCCCAGGCTGGGTCATGTGGGAGGATGGAGGCCATCGTTTTTGGGGGGCGACCGGTGGACGGGTCGATCTACTGAACGCCTGGGATGGTCTTCCCAGGCCCAGCGTTCGATAGATAGATAGATAGATAGATAGACAATGTATTGGACACCGTGCCAATTTGGGGACCACTCTACAACCAAATCAACGGGGAATCATTTGTTGGGTCCCATCGCGACCTGGTCGAACAGGTGAAGCCCGGTTTTGAGCAACCCGACCGGTCGCGGCGAACGAAGGGATCCAGAGTCACAGGTGAAGCTCCATCGGCACTTCAAGTGGGTGTGCATTTTGACAGGGAGACCCAAAAAACCAGTGTGCCTTTCGCGTTTTCATGGAACGGCCCTTTGTGGGGCCCTTGGTGGAAGCACCCCGCCGTGCAGGTCTACAACACGTGGGTGACTTGTTGGCAAGATCAGTGACGTCAGGAGTGAGGGGAACTTCCCTATTCTTTTTGTGGACGCATCGGTGGCGAATTCCCTTTAGCAGTTAGGAGTCGAGTCGTGGCGTATTGGACAGCACCCTCACCAGGCCACAGCGTGAATGTACGGTGCTGGTGTGGAAGTGGTGGTGTATAGACAGGATCTAGCATTCGTCCTCTACCCGATTAGAAAAAGGTGGTGAAGCACGAACCGATCCGAGTTCAGTTCATCGAGCGATTCAGACTGCCTCAAAGGCAGTTCGAACCTTTTGATACCTTTCGGTTTGACAGTCGGGCGCTAGACAAGACATGTGTGGATCTTCCATAGCACCATTGCCCAGGTTTATAAGTACTTGGCACCTGCCAGACGTGTCATCCTGGCCCTGCTACGCGGTCTGCCGCCCTGCGTGGTTGCCTCAGAACTGAGGCCCTGGCCGTGGGGGCTGTTCTCTTCTTGCTCGTCCTGCAGCGGCGGAGCGACCAGAAGGTACTAGGCCGGCCGAAGGACTGGACTGGACGCCAGTCGATGAATCTCTCTCGACCTGGGGGAAGCGACGGGGAGGCGCCCGCAGGCGGTTTTTTGTCCGTTTGATTTTTTCTCCTCCAGCGGACCAGAATGAATGGACCCACTTTGGTCTGAGGGCTGAGAAATGGTGCTAATCATTGCAGTT